TATATATATATATATATATATATTACCGCTTCAAAGTGTTGGATGATATAGAAAATTGCTAATATGCTAATAAAACAAATAGTAATGCAACAAGATAATCATGATGTATAGCATTTTTATCCAATTGTTCTAATACTGCACTCAGCTAGTTTAGAATATATATATATATTACCGCTTCAAAGTGTTGGATGATATAGAAAATCCAGATTCTGCTAATAAAACAAATAGTAATGCAACAAGATAATCATGATGTATAGCATTTTTATCCAATTGTTCTAATACTGCACTCAATGATAATGCTAGTTTAGAAAATGTACTATCTTCTGCCAATATCGGTTCAGATATATCAACTACCCTATTCAAGAAACGTAACTTCTCCATTTTCTATTTGGCATATATTCTGCAATGCAACAAAAATTAATATAAAACGTTGTAAAATCACAAATAGTGTTGATTACTTTCTACTAAGTCAATAAAAACACATTGTAATAGTTGCTTTCCATTTACATCAAAATTCAGATAATTCTCACTTGAATAACTCAGTTAAACGCACGTTCTTTTTGATGCTGGCAAGTGAAATTCAACTAATTTTTTACGTGGTTTTTACCCACAATCGAGACCATGTGCTTTAGTGAGTCTAATAAATTCATATTAACAGTGAGGTTATGAACCTGTATTGTTATGCGATAGCTTTGTTACCAAAATAAGCAGGTAAATGACGTCTTTATCTGATTATAAAATACATAAAATGACTCAGTACCACTTGAGTGAAAATGGAAAGCAACTAATATAATAACAAATATTATAAAACGTATTGCACTGATTACACTTGGCGTCACACATATATGAAGATAGAAATGAAAACCTGATACCAGAGCCCCAGAGAGAAGAAAGAAGCCTGAGATAGGCCACGCCGCCGTTTTTCCTGTAACGCTTTCTCTAGCTTCTAGCTGGTACAGTGGCGCTAACTGAATTCATTTTAGAGTCAGCCGAACTACGTGGCCGGATCGCCGGATCCACTTTTCGGTGCCATGGTAAAACGTCGATTAGTGCATGCCCGTGCTAGATGATCTAGCCTAGATCCATAATTGTTAATCAAAATTGCGAAGAAATATTATGGATTAATTAATGTTTTATTAGCTGTGCGTGATGTTTTGCCATTCTAGTATATATTACGGATAGCGATAATAAGTTATTATTGAAGTATTTTTATGTATATGCGCATGTGACATAAAATAAATTTTCTTAAATCAATTTTTTAATAATTTTTTTCCTCATTTTTAAATATATAACGCGTAGAAAATATTCACAATAAATTATAGAAAATAAAACTTTTATATTTTGCATTTTACCTGTTTGAAAATAATTTTAATGGATTAATAATTTTTTGCGATTAAAATGATATCAGACACAATGTAAACCAGATAATTTTTAGTTAAATATGTAATCAAAATTTTTATTATTAGTATAATTAAAAATTATCTAATTTATGTTATATTTGATGTCATTTTAATCGCAAAAATTTCATTAATTAAATCTATTAAAATTATTCTCAAATCGATAAAATACAAATAAGAATCTTTCTTAAAGTAAGATTCGAAATGACAGAAATCTAAATTATAAATTATCGTTTTGTTGTGATTCTTACGAATAATAACTATTTTTCTATCGATACTTAAAGTAAAGATATTTTGTCCCATGCTTTATCGTACGACTTTTTAATTATAATTTGGATGGAGAACGCGCAGTTAAACAATTGAACCGCAGGATCGAGTAATTAACATAACGATAAGCTTTGTGATATATTAATCGTTTATTATATTTGATCTATAATTTAAAATATTTGTATAATTTAATATTCTTCTTGTATACATGTACGTCATAGTACGCAAAATATTTTCGGCTGCGAATTATCAATAACACGGTATTCGGCCTTGGCGACGTAAACATTAGCGCGCTATTGTTTACGTGTTACGACTTACGGCTTTATATCATTCACACGACACACTCGAACAGTAATGTAGTAGTGCGAGACGCTCTGTCAAATTCCTTTTCTAAACGCGATCGCGATAAGTATCGGGAAATAATTTGATATAATTAATAATAAATTCTCTTTCTTTTTTTTTATTCTCTAAGTAGCAATTATTTAAAAATACTTAAAATTAAATATATTTTGTCCGATGTTTTTTTGTTCGACTTTTCGACGATCTAAATATGATTCGGATTGAGAACGCGCAATAAAATAATTGTGTAATTAACATAACGATAAGCTCCGTGATATATTAATTGTTTATTAAATAATAAATCTATAATTTAAAATATTCGTATAATTTAATATTCCGCTTGTATACGTCATAGTACGCAAAATATTTTCGGTTGCGAATTATCAATAACATGGTATTCGGCCTTGGCGGGGTAAACATTAGCGCGCTATTGTTACGACTTACGGCCTTATCATTCGCACGGTGACACTCGAACAGTAATGTGGTAGTGCGAGACGCTCCGTCAAATTCCTTTTCGCAACGATACGTCGCGTTGTTGCGGTATCGCGTTTTCGCGTTGTCGCGTCTTCGCGTTGAACTTCTATCTCGTTTTCACGATTGTCATCGGGTATCTTCATTCTCGACCCGTCTCTCAGCCTTACGATAAACCCGGCTCAGTCTGTATGATAGAGACTTGGTGGTTCGTATGAAATCGTTCCTAATGAAGTTCGAGTCGGCCCTCGATGGGAGCAGGCGCGGACCAAGAGTCGAGCAAACCCTATTTGCGTTGATTCCATCAATCGATTTCGTCTTCTTCCGCTCCCGCTTAACCTTTGCTCGAAGTAATCGATGAATTCCCGACTTGTTGACTCGAAGTGTGATTTTCACGTGAAGCCGGGTTCGATCGTGCCGAAATTCGAAAGTGCGGGAGTGTTGTTCAAAGTATCGCGCGTATAAGTGCGGAAGTAATCTTTTAATAAAAGTGCGGGAGTGCCGTTTAAAGTATCGCGCGTGTGAATCAACCTGAGAGGAGGAAGACCATTTAAATGACATTATGAACAAAAGCATTGTAATCCTAGTGTTAAACTCTAACGGTTCCGGCATAAATTAACAGTTACGGCCTGCATAAACCAGCCTTAATAGTGCATCCAACTGAATTCATAGATTAAAAAATTAATTGAATAATATAATTACAAAAAAATGAATTAATAATAAAAAGTTATATAAATTAAAAGCATATGATTTGATAATGTTTAAAATGCTTAATACTTTTCAAGAATAAGAAAAAAATGAAAGCAATTTATTGTAAATATCTTCTACATGTTATATTTAAAAATTAGGAGAAAGATTATTAAAAGAAAATTTATTTAGGAAAATTTATTTTATTTTACATCCGTATATACGTAAAAATACTTCAATTATAATTTATTATCGCTGTAGTATATACTAGAATGATAAAACATCACGCGCAGCTAATAAAACATTAATAAATCCATAATATTTCTTCGAATTTTTGATCCACAATGTGTTTAGCACGGACATGCACCAACTAGTCGTTTTATCATGGCATCAAAAAGTGGATCTGGCCATGTAGTTACGCCGACTCTAAAATGGATTCAGTTAGCGCCACTATACCAGTTAGGAAAACAGTCTCACGAAAAACGGCGGCGTAGTCCCTCTCAGGTTTTTCTCTGATACTGGATGGCGCAGAATTCGATATATGAGTGGGATAAGTAGGGCTCTTTTCGGAAATCTTATTCGTGTACACACGAACGTCGTTCTATCTTTGTTATTTACTAAAAGTTAAACAAAGATAGAATGACGCTCGTGTGCACGTAGGTAATGTTTCCGAACGCAGCCTAAGGTATCTCTCTAGGTATATGAGCTCTCCAGGGGCACGAAACAGAGTATGTCCTTTTCTACGTGGGCATCGGCCCCCACTCCTTAAATAAAGGCAAACGCTCGGTCTAGATATACTATGTCTATGTGTCAGCCTTTTCACTGTCATATCTACAATCGTATGCAGATTTTGATTGACATATGCTATGAACTATGAATGTTGAACACAATCGAGCGTAAAATAAATCTTGATGAAGTGAGATAAATGAGATAATCAAATGATAACCAATGTGAAATGCGTATTATAAATTATGACATTGATGGAGATTAAAGATGTTCTTGCATTAACCGCTTCAATTTTTACGGTTTTACAATTTCTGGCCGGCGTGTAAGTAACACTATATATATATACATAACTTTGATATTTATATTATTCATGACAAGTATTAAATTAAATTATGAAAATATTTTTTATAGCATAGTGTGCAAGAAGTATATTAGAAATGGTACAACTGGAGATAGCTCGTGTTTGGCCTTTATCACATGTTTTATGTCGTATGTATTATAATGAGAAACAACAATATACATGGTGCAACTGCAAACAGTGACTTAAATTTCTAATTACATATTTATTATTACAGTTGTAGCTTGTGGTTGCGATATGGAATACTTATTGGAGATTTGTTTATTGTATCTGTAAATATCTTTGGGACAGTATTACAAATATGCTATATGATAATTTACATCATGTATAGTGTAAAAGGATCGACTATTGTTAAGCAGTTTATGATAGCAATATGCTTTGTTTTACTTATATATCTCTACAGTATTTATCAAGAGGATAAAGTTTTGGCTGCAAAACATGTAGGATTTCTTAGTTGCAGTCTGACGGTATTATTTTTTGCATCACCATTGATTTCACTTGTAAGTACAGAGGGATAAAATCTTTATTCACATACAAAATTTCTAATTAAATATATTAGATAATAAAACTGTTTATTTATCGAAAAATGACATTGTTTAATATTTATTTGTAATATACAATAACTTTAAAATGTTGATAACAAATTTATAAATCTATTATAGGTACATGTAATAAGAGTAAAAAGCACAGAGAGTTTGCCATTTCCAGTCATAATGGCTTCTATGATAGTATCCTGTCAATGGTTTGCATATGGATGTCTACTCGGTGACCAATTTATACAAATACCAAATTTTATGGGCTGTGTATTGTCAGGTTTTCAACTTTCTTTGTTTTTGATTTATCCAAGTAAACGAACGTTAGATCAAGCCTATTTTATATAAAAATATTTATTATAATTTCTATATAATAAATATAATAAATAATTATTATAGTTTCTATAATAAATATTCTATAGTTTTTATTATACTTTGAAAATTAATAATATTAATATGACAATGCTGTGTAAAAATACTATCAGTTATAAGTCAATAACTTTTCTTATATAAGATTGTATGTATCTTTATTTTATTTTATTGCAAATTCATTGTAAGCTCATATCTGTTACATTACACATAAGTAAATTTTACTTTATATATTTGTATAGTAAATCCTATATATATTTATATAGTAAATCCTTAAATTTGACTTTGTTAATTTTGATATCTTTTCAAATACTAATAATGTTTTCGATTGCAGTAGGTTTGATCGCTTTAAGGGCAATTAAATTCAATTCTCTTGATAGTTAAATTCAATTTGTAATGAATTTTTTTTGAAATTTGTTATATTAATTGGAATCGTGTTTTGAATCTAAGTTAAATTTTAATTATAACACAAAAACTGTAATATAATAGTGAATCAATATCACTTAACATTCGCTCTTATAGAGTTTTTAGTTTCATCAGATATTTCTGATGCAATGGTATAAAAAATATAAAGCTAAGACAATACATATGCAATTGAAAAAAAAGAAAATATCTTGTGTAGAACTATTTATATAAATATAGTTGAACAATGTAGTGATAATGAAGTTAAAAAAAATAAACATATTTTCTGCACTATAAGCGCACACATACATTCTTGACCAAAAAGGATTTATTTATATCATTTTGAAAACGCTTCCACGTCAATTGTAAGAACATGTAATAAAAAAATGGAAATTTCTATTTAAAAAATTCTAGCAGAGAGAAGAAATATCGTAAATATAATATAATTATCGTAATTATATCTCATATACCATTATAACGATTGATTCAAGATAATTAAATAAAATAAATTATATTTAATTCATGAAATCTGAAATCTAATATTTATTTTATATGTTTATATAAAAATTAAATTTTGATTTTCTTGTATAGGAATAAATAGACGATTTCTCATTAATTTCTGCCCAATTTCAAGTAACCTATTTTTAATATTTTAAATTCCTTGTTGAGATTATATCATAAATCAAGCTAAAAAAGAATAATATTTTGGATCTGTCTCTCTAACTGTCGGTAACAAGAGTCGGTAACAAGAGTCTGGACACAAGCGACTTTTTGCTGATTGGTAAAAAGATTTTTAGAACAAAAATGGCCAACGAAAAACTAATCAAAAAGTCGTTCCATTTAACGCCATTATTTAAAATAAAAAGCGGCATTAATAAATAGTAAAAATATTTTGTATATTTAAAACATTTTTTTATGTTTCTTTAAATCTTTGTAAGGTTAATATCTTTTTTTGTAATAAAAATATTAATAGAAAAAAGGATGAACAAGGTATATTTAATAATTATCGTGTGCATCATATATGACAATAATAATTGAGGAAAAAGCGACATTAAGTTGTCATAGTGGTTGTCTGATTAGTCAATGTCACAAATTGCATCTGTCACGTATATTAGAAATGACGTCATATTGTCAACAGATATTAAGCTGTCCGCTGATTGCATTGACGCTAAGTTGATGACGCTAGGTAAGTCGTAATTTTTGTACGCGTAAAAGTTACGCTGATGACACTGGTCGAGAAAAATAACAATTCATATAAACTGGATTTTCCATGTTTTCTAACATATCTTCATTACGAAAGCAATTAAGGGGGCATACCCGTTTGAACCTTCGAAAAATGAGTACATTTTTTAGATTTTTTTGAAAAGTTATTTCTTTGTATAGATATTTTAATTGGTAGATTTGTCAAATAGTGTGTTTGAGAAAAATAAATAAGTATGTTTATTTATTGTAATTGGAAATATATTCCTAAAATATATACTATAAGAGGGCATACCCGTTTGAATCTTCGAAAATTGAGTACATTTTCTAAATTTTTTGCAGCGTAACGATTTGATGAAAACTTTTTTTCTTTTTTTACAATATTAATACAATATTATTAAATACTTAAATAAAAATGTTCAGCTTCGAAGTTTCAAACGAGTATGCTCCCTTAAGAAGAGATAATCGGAAAAATCCGTTTATATATTTTTTTTTTTATTATATAAATGTATTTAAATATGAGATATGAATTCCAATCTCGGATTTTTATCTAACAACAATTTTATGCAATGCAAGATGAATTAATTTTTGTAAAGAAACAAAAGCTATAAAAATTTATTATTGTAAAGAGAATGTGAATGTCCAAATTCAAAAATAAACATGCGTAATTAGCTATATTTCATTAATAGTATTATTTACCAGGCTATCATATTTTTTAGACATTTATAATATTTTCTTTGTTATGTTAGATTGATTTAGAATCCAGCTTGAAAGAATCTGCTTGTGTTTGTGAACATATTTACAATCACGGAAATAAGGATAGTCAATTAATTAGTTAATTCTTGATGTTTTATAAATCTAAGATGATTGATAAAAATTATCAATAATAATATTCGTAAATTATATACAGACGAGAATGTAAATATTTTCTTTAATACTTATTCTTTCCAATTTGAAAAATATAGTTGTTTATTAACGTCAAATTTAATCAATTAAATTCATTCACAATCAAACTTTACTAATTTTGCATTAGAAATTATTATATGCAATCGCAAGATATGACGCTGGTGGATTTGTATGCAAATGTTAAAGAAATGGAGCTTTCGAAAGTAGTTTTCCTTTTTAAAACTTCTTTTTAAAGTTGTAATAATATAGTTGGTTTGTGGTATAATTGTTTGGTTGAAAAAGTTCTTATGCTTACAATTAGGATGAATATTTTTAGAACGACACTTAGGATGTCGCTTTTGATAATGTTATCGTGAATAAATTTTTCTTCTTGCAGTCTGTAACTGTGTTACGTCATGTTTGCGAATGCAGATAAAAATCATAAAAATTCTAGTTGGTAGTAATTTAGGATCTTGTTTATCGCTGGGTCGCTTGTCACAAACTCTAAAAAAGTGTATAAAACAATCGTCGCGTATCATCAGACACGAAAGGGAGAAGACATAATTAGAGTAGTCGGTCAAGTACATGGGTTTACGGCTATACGAAAAGACCTTAACCCATCCGCACCCATGTTTATGCTACTTTTGTGTGAGGTTGTATTTGTTAAAGATATAATTATACATTATGGAAATGTTGATATGTTGCTAATGGTATGTGAATATTGCACGAGAAAGATATTTTTTGTTGAAAAGATATTTGGCCATAAATTTTAATATTTAGAAAATACAACTGTGCTCTAGTTTAATTTTATTTTAATTTATATCATTTTGATAATTTTCCTGACTGAAAGTGTTTATACATATACATATATAAAGAGAACTGATTTCAATAGAAGTATAACCGTATTTATAATATATGTATTTGCAACAATTTGCGTTACACATTGATAAATATAAATATGTGTAAATATATTTATACATTAATACTTTTGTAATATAAAATAATTAACAGTTTTTAAACTTTAAGATAAGTTAGTTATTAAATATTGGTTTGAGACTTACCGAAATTATACAATGATTATATCGACCACTGATATCGGCCAAGGTTGAGGTAACCCACAAGAAATCATTAAATTGCACCTCGAGCAAAAAATATACCGAATGGTTCTTTATTATTCGTACAGGTGAACGTGTGTATACATGAGTACAGTTAAATTATACAGATTTGTGCACGCCGTTTGGTACTTTTTACAATCTGAAGGTGAAAATCGAATCACGCACGGCCGGCCAATCGATGTATCGAATAATATATTAATTAATTTGTATTTTGTTGTGTACAAAAAATTCATTTACTATGTACTTTCCTATACGTTATCTTACTACATATATATCCTTCCAAATTACACACAAAAGATATACAATACACGCGATCAAAATTACTTATTATTTTAACATCTGAAAATGTCGATATGTGTATTTACGGTTATATACTTCCTATATGATCATGTTATTATTTGATTGAATTATTAAAATTTATGACGATACAATTTCATTTTATTTGTTTATCTGGCGATTTCGAAATTGTTAAATGCCAGATTGAACGAATCATGAAAAATCCGCTTTCAACTGGTATAAACCGTCTGCGAAGGAAAACATCAGGAAACTATCGAAAAACATCATGTTTCTCAGTATCTACATATTGTTAACTCGCAACGAGAATTATTCCACTCATTCTTCCATTCATAGTAGCCGGTGCTACTCTTGCGACATTTTCTGTGCGTATAAGTTATTACATCGTTAAGTAAACGCGATCTAGTTGTATTGACAAAACTAGGAGTTTTGATAAATCATGGAAAATTACGGCGATAGCTATATAAATATTACCTGATTGCTTAAGGAATGGATACGATCAGATAGGCGCTTTTTTCGTAGAGAGGGAAATGACATTTGCCATCGTCTCGCCGTTTGATGTTCATTGACGCGACGCTTGCGTGAGTCATTGTCGCCTATTCATAACGATCTGACAGTTTTCTCGACATACTGAGATATGTACGTACAATGCATGCAGATTCATGACAATATATGAAGATACGACAGATGCAAATTTCTACTCGCATATCTTTTGTGCATATACGCTTATTATAAGTGCATAGCGGTACATGATCCGTTCGATTGTGAGGTATTTATTTACAGATTTTATTTCTCCTAATAACAAATTTCTAGTATAACGAATAAGTAAAGGGTTTATCTTGCCATGAAACATTTGTTTACTAAAACTTTTCTTATGATATTTTCTATATTTACAGAGGCGATAATGCAATATAATTATGGCTAAAACTTATTTTGTTTTTATCTGCAAATAGATATATATATATAATATAAGGCACATCATCAACCCATTCCATGTTTCAATGACAAATCTGTTTCACAATAATTTTTTAACGATCATTTTTGCTTCTATAACGTATTAATATGCCATTTAATTGTGAAAATTTATATTCTGTTAATTCCATTGTACATAAAATCATCTTGCGAGAGCAGTACATTTTCTTGACAATTTATATATATATATATATATGTGTAAGGATGTGTGTGTCTGTGTGTTTGTTTTATAAAATAATTACGAATATTGAGTCACATGTCAAACTACGATATCATTAAAATATTCATTATAATCTCGCGTGTTATTCATCGCTATATTCGCGACAACTTTATGTTTACAATAGTAATAGCCAAGTATATGAGGAAAATTTACGCGAATGAATTTCCGGTATCAATTGTAATACTTCCGGTCAAACAATGAGTGATAACACGAAACGCATTGCATCACGAGCAGTAAAAGTGACAAGTTCCGCCGATTGGCCGATCACATATACTTTGCATAGATTTTCTTCGGCCACGTGATATCAAAGCATATATAAATCGAGATTATATAACATATCGGAAGTCGTGGCTAGAGTGCTTCGATCCTCGGTAGCGATCACGAGAGATCCTTCCGCCCGATTTGCACGACCGGAAATGCACCATAAATTTTTTAGAAACTCGGGAAATAATTGGCGCAGTACGAACGTTTGTTACCACATCGTATTATAGATTCTCGCCTAAACTATCACTAGTAAATCAATTAACTATATTATGACCAGTACA